AAACCGCTGGGCAGGGTTGAGTGAGAACACAGGTGATGATCTGGCTGCCCCTGCTTCGTCTCAGCCAACGTCTAGGGACCAGGTTGGGTTTGGGGTGGAGAGATGAGCATTTGAACCTGTAATCCCCCTTTGTCATGTCCTCACTGCTGTCCACACGCTCTGAAATTCTTTGTTACAGGGTTGAGTGGTTTTCTCAGTTGAATTTTCTATGATTAAAAACTTTGTGAATCTTCATTAAATACAAATTAGCCAGAAAATGGTGGTACTTAGAGGAAATTTTAGGTGATAAAATACAAAAGAATGAGTTCAAGTGCCACGAGTTTGTTTTAATTAAGAAATGAATTAATCACCCCGACTTGCGGGTTTCCACTATTCTACAGATTCAACAAATTCCAGTGACAACATCTACACAATGATTAATCCGGTGCCGCCTGGAGGCAGCCGGTCCAACGTAAGTCTGCTTTCTAATAATTTACATATCAGATACCATAACAAATCATAATTAACTTCATCAGCTGAGGGGAAAGCAAGTTTAATTGATTTCAGCCATTTGTTACCAAAGATGAATAAAATAAACCATCAGAAAAGTGATTAACTCTTGGGCAACTCAGTTTCCATCTCATAGCTGCCAAGGGGTGAGGGAGAAGAAGATGGAGTAATTCCCACCCCTCTGGTCAGAGCAGGGCACCAGACCCCACTGTGGGGATCCCCACCACTCTGTAGGGTGCTGGCGAGGGAAAGTACCAGGCTATAGGTCAGGTCTCAGCGGGTTCCTGCTCACCAGGCTGTGCCACCCTGGGCAGTCCCTCACCCTCTCAGGTCTGTGTCCGTGGCTGTGGACCTAAGGGTTGAGGCCACAGCAGGAGCACGTGGCCTATTTGGGGACCTGCCTGCCCTGTGCCTCTGGCACCTCTGGGAGCGCTGTGACTCCTGCACCTTGCAGCCTCTTTGCCTCTCCTTGGGCCATTTCCTCATCTAGAAGCCACTCCCTCCCATCTTGGCCTCTCAAAGTTCCAACCTTCCGTGATGTTGCAACTCAAATTCCACTTTTTGTGGTCCTGCTCGCCCATTCCTTGTTCCCTCTGTTCCATGTCTCATGTGACTTGACTATGCAGCCACAGCCTATATCCCTCTGCCAGTTGGAAGCTCCCTAAGGACAGGACTGGTCTGACTCACCTCCACAGACAACCCTTTCACTCCAGGAAGGGAGGTAAATCCATCCAGCCTTGCTCTCAGGGAGCTCAGGGTTTAGAAAGGAGGCTACTGTATGACCAAATCAGCAGAGGCTGAGGGCTGGGCTTGGGGCCCCAAAATTGCCTGTGGCTTTTTGCTGTGCTCCGTTTGGTTTTGTGGGTTCTGTTCCTGATGTGACACTTAAAATCACCCCCTGTGCTAAACTCTGATCTTGAGTGGCCTCATGCTGGACACTGCACGTATTTAATCTGCTTACAGCCTTTGGGATGAGGGTCTTTGGTCTGCCTCCTGGGGCGCCAGGAGGGGTCATAACCAGAGTCGTGACTGAGGGGTGTGGGGACCGCACGCCACACCTGCTGTTCCACCACACCTCTCCCTCCTCTCTTCCGCGCAGTCAGCACCTCCCACTACCCCCACTTCACCACCCTTGGCTCTCACTAGGGTGACTAGCCATCCAGGTTTCAGCGCTAAAAGCCCCTCGTCCCAGGAGACGAAGTCCCAGGACACGAAAAGTTCTGGTTTTTGCCAGAACTGGATGCAGAAAGTTGGGTAGAAAAGTGTAAGACCCGTACAGTGGCCCAAAAGATAGGTACTGGGCACACCGTTTGGTGTCAGATGGAAACAGCGTAGATTATCCTCTTCGCCATATTTTGCTGACCACGGACGCTGGCTGTCGTGACCTGAGTTTCTCAGCGATGGATCTTCCACGTTGTATCCCCCAGTGGTAGTTTGGTGTCAGATGGAAACAGCGTAGATTATCCTCCTCGCCATATTTCTGCTGACCACGGACGCTGGCTGTCGTGACCTGTGTTTCTCAGCAATGGATCATCCACGTTGTATCTCCCAGTGGTGCGACTCATGTGCATGGCGGTCACGGCACGGAGTTGCCTGTGACTCTGCCTGCAGATTAACCGTCGTGCTCTGTGTCGAGATAGGTTTCATTTTTCACGTGAGCATTGTGACCATGTTTTCTAAGAGTTCAGCTAATGAACACAAGAACGATGCTGACATCAGCACCATCACCAGAATAAAAGACTATTAAACGACTGTGTTATTATAACACCAGGTGGGAGGACACATACAACTGGATTAGGGAGGTAAATAACCGAGATGGAAGGTACTGCACAGTGTGCGGAAGAGAAGAAGGGATGTGAAAGTGGAGAGAGGGGTGTGAAAGCAAGCACCTTGGAGACTGGAAGGAGAGAGGTACATCCTTCTAAATCAATCAAAAGGTGGTTTTTGTCTTCTAAAGAGACACCAATGCTCAGTCAAAAATAAGTGCTCATGCATTCGCTTGGACATAACACCATCACCATGCTGGTCCCGCAGTTGCTCCATGAACTGAGAAGGTTATAGGTGCTGATTCAGAGGTTGCGACTAAGTCCTCTGGGTGAACAGGAGGGGAATTTTGATGACAAATGTGTCAGTCTTTTACAGCATAGAGCTGATTCTGTCAGATCTTACCAACAAATCAGGTGAGCTTCCTACTGCATGCAAATCCTGACAACAAAAACAGGTCCACCAGGGTTTAGATACTTTGACTTGAAAACTGTAGTTTCAAATTATCATCTTGATTTCTGTGAAGAAAACATGAAGCAACGATCGTTTTTCTCTTGTCCAAATACAAACTTAGACTTTGTTTGTTTATCTGCATTTTTGGCAGACAGTACACAGTTAATTTGGCAATTTTCGTTTAGTCCATAAATGTCTTACCTGATAAATGTCCCACACATCTGTCCCCTACACTGCTACAAAGGGGTGTGATTTGCTTACCTGTGATATCAGGCTTTCATAATGAAAATTCTTGGTGACTTGTCAATTTCCTCAAAAGGTGCAGAAATGCTTAATGAGATTTTTGACTTTAAGAAATAGCCTCAGACATGAGCCCACTAGATGGCTGTCATTGTTGCTGGCCGTGGAAAAAAATGTTAAAATGTCGGCCTGCTGTGATGTCCTTCTCTAATTTGGAAATACGTTGAGATAAGAATGGAGAAAGATATTACACTAAAATAGAAACGTATATGCAGTTTCTCCAGAACTGTTTGATGATCTTTAAAGAGGCCACAAGGAGCCTAGATGACGATGACCAAACCGCACCCGAGTTGTTCACAGTCATGAGGGGATTGTGACAAAACTTCATATGGCCAACAGGATGACTGGCTCTTGGAAATGAGACTGCTTGAGAACTCAAAAAAATGTCACCAGTGAGGGCAGCCACATTAAACAGGACTTTTTTCAATTTCTTTATTAAAACTGCAACTTAATTGGAATCCAGCTTGGAACTCACAAGTTCAGATTGCCTTTGTGCTTTAAAACTGTATTCCCTGAGGAGGAGAGGTTTGATTGCTAATGACATCCAGTGTGCTCTGGAAGGTTTAGAAGCGATGGACATCTGAGACAAAGGTAGCCCTTCTGGTGAATTTTCAGATGCAAAGGAGACCGACAGGCGAGCAGCTGGTCTGCTGCAACCAGTCTGTAGATACAAAGTGGGTGGACATCTTTAGAGAGCTGAAAGTGAATTCCTGTAGGTCCAAAAACCTGTGTGAGTAAGTAAGATCTTAAGTACTCCACATGCAAATGTTTTTACGGAGAGGATGGTTTGGTGTTACCGCATTGGATTGACAGGAGGGCTTGGTGAGAGCAGAGCAGCAAGTCAAAGCGAGTTTTACATTTGACACTGTATTCAGTCTTACCACTCCATAAAAGAAAAGAAAGATGTCCTAGAAGCCACAGGCAATTCAGAGATGTATTCGTGGAAAAGCAATTACTGTTTGTCTCACTGTACCCCTGAAAGCAAACGGGTCACCGGCAGCTCTCTTGGAGTCCCCTCAGGAGATTCAGCCCAGGTTGCTGCTTTTGCCAGGTCTTCTCAAATTGGCATGGTCAGTATGTGCCACCAGCGTTCCTGCCAGCGCAAAGGATGAAAGGCTTCGTCGATAGGATTAAATGATCATCCTTGAATCGACTATGAAAGATACCCACCTGATGAAAGAAACAATGCTGGTTCTTTGTACATAAAACTCTTTTTAACCTTAAAAAAAAAAAGGAAACAGAACAAAAATATCCTGTTGTAATATAGGACAGAACTATGTCATTTTTATAAGTTAAATATAGATAGTATCTATTTAATCAGTCCTATTGTTTTTAGGTTCTCTTTAAAAATATTACATTTATGTATTTTGAGAATACGCATATTATGTTTTGTATTATAGCCTACTGAAATATATATTTTGTACTGTAGCTACCAAAATTTAAATATTCAATAAAGAGTTAAAATAAATTACTATCTCAGGGGAAAGAAACATTATAAAAATGCTATATTTTTCCCATGTCATTTATTTAACTAGTCCTACTACTAATTGCCACTGTCAACTAGTCTTACTGTTGTTTTGTTAAAATGGTAGCATTTTTGTAACAAAGTGAATAACACAGAATAGTGCAGTGGTGCTGGCACAGCTGGCTATCCACATGCAGATGAGGGAAGGTGGGCTGCTTTCCTACACCAATACACAAAAGTTGACTCGAGGCAGACCCTAGACATGAATGTCAGAACTAAAACTATCAAACACTGAGAAAAAATGTAGTGAATCTTTGTGGCCGGGGTTAAGCAAAGCTTGAGGTACAACAACGAATGCACAAATGATGAAAGAAGTGAATGCATTGGGCTTCGTCAAGATTTAAAACTTTTGTGCTGCGTAGGATACTGTCAACCCACAGAATGGAGAAAATATTTATAAATCGTATATCTGATAAGGGCCTTGAATCTAAAATATGTAAAGAACTCAATTAAAATAAAAAAAAATGGGCTAAGGATCTGAATAGACATTTCTCTAAAAGTGTACAGTTAGGCAATAAGCACATGAAGAGATGCTTTGGCATCATTAGTTATTAGAGAAATGCAAGTGAAAACCATAGTGAAGTATCCACTAAGATAGCTATAATCAAAAAGTCAAATAATGACCTGTCTTGGTGGGGATGGGAAGAAAATAGAACTCCCATACATTGCTGGTGGGAAGGTCAAGTGATGGCAGCTCCTTTGGCAGGTGGTCTGGCAGGTTTTTTTGAAAAGTTAAACAGTTACCATATGACCCTTCAATTGCACTTCTAGGTATCTACCCTAGAGAAACGAAAACATACGTCCCCATAATAATTGTACACACGTGATCATAGCATTATTCCTAGTAGCCAAAAAGTGACACCCATCTAAATGTCCATTGTTCTGCTTTGAGCGTGTGTGAGAGGGGAGCCCCACCACAACGGAAGCTCCCGAGGGCAGGACTCTGCTGCAGCTGGGCCTGAGAGCCCACGAGGTGGGCATACAGGGCTGCGGCCCACTCAGACACCATGCTCTGTGTTTTTTCCTCAGTTCCCAATGGGTCCAGGCTCGGACGGCCCGATGGGAGGCATGGGCGGCATGGAGCCACACCACATGAACGGATCATTAGGTAAGCCAGCAATGCTCCTGGGTCCTGCTGGCCCCTGCCCAGCAGATTTCTCTCGGCCTCAGCTCCTGGCTCAGCTAGGCCCGCAGGAAGATCTCGAGAGAAAGATACTGCCAGCATGGAACGTTTTCTGTGCAGAAATAGTGTGGGATTTGAGTAGAAGGGTTTGGAAGCCCTTCCACGGAAGAGTGGGCAAGAAACTGAATAGGATTCTTTCTTCCTTCCAGGGTCAGGTGACATAGATGGACTTCCAAAAGTGAGTGTGTGTTGTGTCTCCCTGACAGCACCCACCCTGCCCCACCCTTGAGGCCCCCCACCTAAAGGCCTTTTTCCCAGTCTGGTGGGGCAGGCTGTGGGGGTCCATAGGCTCACCTCCTCTCCTCTCCCTGCAGAATTCTCCTAACAACATAAGTGGCATTAGCAACCCTCCAGGCACCCCTCGAGACGACGGCGAGCTAGGAGGGAACTTCCTCCACTCCTTCCAGAATGACAATGTAAGTGTGCCTGCCGCCACCCTAATTTCATCCCTGGACCACCATCTGATTCCCTGAAGTCTGGGGACTGGTTATTTAACAAGTTTCAGAGCCTCCTGGCCAAGACTTGCCCGCCAGGCTGGTGTCCCCACAACCGTGTTATGGCCCTTTAACCTGGTTATTTTTCTTCACAGTGCAGAGCCCTCACAGTCCTCCCTACTGTGTGGACCTGACCATTACCACCCAAATCTGACCACTGGCAGATCCTTCTGGAGGCATCTTTGTGTAGGCGCAATGCCTCAGGCACTAATTAAGCCCATGTGGCTGGAAAAGCCCTGGGCTGGAAATCCAGAGGCCTGGGCTCTGGCCCATTGGGTTATTGTCCCCAGGGGTCCATTTCCATCTGTCCCAGGGAGTAAAATTCATGCATAGTGATTTCCTGGGGTCTCAGTGCAGAGGGGCTGGCCATCTACTTTTCCATATTGGGCTTCTATTTATAATCTATTTAAAGAAACAGCTTCATGGTTAAGCAGCTTTTGGGAACCCCAGACAGGCTCCAGCCCCATGGGAGGGGAGGGCCGGCCAGGGTGCCTGCTGCTTCCGCTGGAAAGAAGAGGTGATTTGGAGAGGGAAAGGGGCAGAAGGAGGTGAGTCTGCCCCCAGAGTTCTTGACAGAGGGCACAGGCTGGGGCAGCGAGGCAACTCCTGACTTCGGCCTCCTGGCCCTGCTGGCCTCCTGCCCACCCAGTGTCATCACATACTCTCAGCCCAGCCAGGCCCCGAGACCGGCCCCATTCAGTATGTGCAGTCAGACCTTCCTTCACCAGGCTCCCACTCCCTGGCCCTCGCAAACCCCCCTTCTCTGCCGCTTCTCTTCCAGTATTCTCCAAGCATGACGATGAGTGTGTGATCCCCCTCCTCTTCTCCGAGATGCTGAGAGAGCCGGCATTGCAAGCGGGAAGATGCCAGAAATTATGCAAGAAGAAGTGAGGTGTCATTACCCAGGGGCTGGAGGAGGGGCGTCTCCCTGCCCCCCTCTCCCCCACCCTCCTCTCCACTCCTCCCACCTTTCCCAATTTTAGTTTCATGCAATAAAAAGGCCGAACTTTTTATTCCATAAAACATGAAGGACAAATCTCAAAATAAAAATATATTTCAAGTCAGTGACCAGAAAAATCCCACCCCTGGCCCTTTCCCAAAAGGACCTTTTATGTACATGACACTTTTTTGTTGTTTTTTGTTTGGGGTTTTACCGTTGTTGGGATTTTTTTTTTTTATTTGTTTTCAGGGGGGTTTTTTTGGGGGAAAAATTTTTAAAAATGGAAGCTTCTAGCAAGCCCCCACCCCCCCCCAATCAACCTCTTTGCTTTCTTCTTTAAAAAAAAAAAAAAAAAAAGAAAAAAAAAAA